ATTTCCTCGAATAAATTCCAGAATGGATTAAACATGATTCAATTCGCAATAATAAAAGAAGGCATTATCCTTGTTGTTGCGAAACTTAGTTTCTCTAGATTGAAAATAAATCCGCTATTTTGCCAAGTTTGAAATGCAAACAAACATGTCCGCCATTTCAAAATTCATTAGGCTTAGCTGCACTTTTAAATTGTTGATAATTCCACAATAATTTCATGCAGATTTACTAAAGGCATAAAAACCTTAACCGGAAGATAAGAACAACATAAGTGGATAATTTTTAAAGCAAAAAATGCACAACTTGCAAACACATAAGAATAAAGAAACTGAGCTCACTGACACGAGTAATAGAGTGAATATTGTAATGTATTTTGCAGTAATTTACAAAACAGACAGTCTTCTTAGTAGAACATAAATTTTATTTCTAGTCACGGTGATAGACAAATTTAATACAATTCTTAAGTGGCAAAATTTTTATACTACTTCTAGCTGGCAAAATCTTCAGAATTCTAATCCTTTTAAAACAATATCTCACGTTACTGAGTAACGGTTTAATACAAATATGGCGTTGCCACTTCAACAATAATTATTAGTCCAAAGGGACTTGAGTCCCGAAGGACTATTACTTTCGTTTTGGCATTTTGCGTCGGACGGATAAATGTCGGTTCACTTTTCAAACTGTTGCCATAAAATTTTAGAGTCCTGCATTATATTTGAAGAAATTAAATAATGAAAATCTGCGTAAATGTATGTATATTTCTCACATTGTCATAAAATAACGGTACACAGAGTCATCGAATTTTGAATAACGTAATCCTCCAACGAATATGAGCATGTGGAAGACCAAATTTGAAATTTGTTTTATGATCGATTTCCTATTTTTTAAAACTTTGACGAATTTTTGATTAACAAACTCAAGGATTTCAAAGCGAGCAATGGCAACGTTGTGCAGAAAAAACATTTTTATGTCCAGCGCGTGAGTCTCTGTATCGGAAATTCTAAAGATATGCTCGTTTTAAAACTATTTTGCGATATTGCTGTTGCACTGGATCTTATGGTTTAAGTGCGAGGAACATGATATTAAATAAAGAAAGGTAACACACAAAATGTTAAAAATTTTTTTTAGCGTAATTTAAAACGTAATTTAAAATCTGAAACATTTCAGATTTTTTTTTTATTATTTATTTATTAAATAACAAGAAATTACAATATATGTATGCATATATTTATATACTTTTGGTGCGGCCGATTGTAACCAAAATACGAGGTGCACATCTGCATGTTATAGCAGTTCGATATACAAAATTTCAACATTCTGAGGTTATCTTCAGAATCTTCAGAATTCTAATCCTTTTAAAACAATATCTCACGTTACTGAGTAACGATTTAATACAAATATGGCGTTGCCACTTCAACAATAATTATATTTATTTATTAAATAACAAGATATTGCAATATATATATGCATATATTTATATACTTTTGGTGCGGCCGATTGCAACCAAAATACGAGGTGCACATCTGCATGTTATAGCAGTCCTATATACAAAATTTAAACATTCTGAGGTTACTCGTTTTTGAGTTATGCGAGATACATGTTGCCCCACTTTATTTTTTGAATTCGCTACATTATTTCTTAAAAAACAATATATGCCGATAACAGTGGGTGGCAGCGTCCTTTCCATACGTTGCCATATGTATATGTATATATATTCCTCCTGTTATTTCTTTGGTAGCAACATCTTTTATTTGAAAAGTAATACGGACAACATAGTAAGGATTGGGACTAATAGCACCCGTGGTGCTTAGAAAATTAAATGGATTTGAAAGTTGTTGAATGATCTGTTTTCATCAAGTTCAGTAATATAGTACACTGGTTGTCATAAATTAAGGAAAAATCACAAAAATCACGATTACTGAAAAAGTTACATGTAGAATTTTATGAAACTTACCCACAATATACAACACATAGTAAGGTATCAAATAACATAAAAAGAAATTACCAGACAATTATGGTAGTATAGAAATTAGCACATGTATAAAATGAACAAATCGAAGATGTCAGTTTGTTATAGTAAAAGTACCTTCAATATGGAATATAATCGCCTATAGAAGCAATACAGCACATTCAGCGATGCGTGATGCTTTCAATTATGCGGTCTATCAGTTTCATAGGAAGCGAGAGTCATCGTTTTTGCAAAGCAGTTGCAAGCGCGGCAAGGGTCTAAGGTGTCGGATTGAGAGCAGCTAGACGTCTCCCTAAAGCATCCCAAACGTGCTCGATAGGATTCAAGTCCGGGGATCGAGCTGGCCACTCCATGCGCATAAATGTTTACTGTTGAAGATAATCATATACGATGCGTGCCCTGTGTGGTCTTGCATTGTCGTCCTGTAACAAGGAAAGCATCACCTACTGCCCCGGCATATGGGCGCACATAAGCATCAAGGATGTCATCTCTATAAACATGAGCATTCACGGTTTCCCTTAGAAAAACATGTAGGTCTGTGCGTCCACCCAAAGAGATGCCACTCCAAACATAGACACTGCCTCTTCCGTATGCATCTCTTTCACGGATGTTTGACGGATGATAACGGGTTCCATGTTCTCTCCACATCAAATAATGCCTACTATCGTATTCTAGACTAAACCTGGACTCATCCGTAAAGAGAATAGCCCTCAATTACTCAGGCGTCCAGTGGACATGTTGTCGTGCCCACTGCCAACGGTCCCTCCTATGGCGTGACTTGAGCAGCACGCAAATGATTGTTCGCCTCGCATACAGACCACCTTCGTGAAGCTTTCTACGCACAGTTGACGTTGACACCAACCTTCCGGTGACTGAAGCAAGGGAAGAAGAAGAATCGGAGTAGTGGTTCTATTCCTGAGTGCACATAATGTCAAATATCGTTGATCGGCGCTCGTCGTAGCAGTTAACCGTCCTTGGCTGAACCTCTTTTTAGATGCCGAATCTGTGATTTGAAATTGCCTCCAAAGTCTATGAACCACAGAAGGACTCCCATTTAGCCATCTGGCCACTTCTGTTGGACTTTGTCTTGCCTCTAGTCTCCCAATGGCTTTTTGTCGTAGTTCTGCAGGCAAATGATGCCTGGAGATCATTGTTACGAATCGGCTATCTTAGATTTCTGATGTCACTATCACAGTGAAATATGTGAGCTTGCTCTCAAACATGGACTTTTATGATCCTCGCAGATGACGTATTCCGAGTGCAGCGCCACTAATTTGCATATTGGAGTTTTACTCAGCTACTCTTACTTGGTAACATATTCAAATTTTACACCGTTTGGCTTATTTTCGAGGGAGTTATCGCTATTTTTGTGATTTTTCCTTATTTTATGATAACCAGTGTATTTCAGGTTCGGCATTGTTGTGACATTTGTTTGCATGCTGTTGATGAAGAAAAGCAATTTAACTCTTTGGAAATTCTTTTTGAAAAGTCTGAAACAGTTATGCATTATCTTTTGGAAGAAAGTCCCGGTAATTCGAATATGGCAAAATACGCGAGGATTGTGTCGGTAGATAAATGGATGGCTTCGTGAAGTACTCACTAAAGGAGACTGACTACACGAGGACTATCTTCCAAAGCGGCTTTTCTAAGGGAAAGGTTCGTATTCACGTTACAAATGATGAGGAAAGTTAAGAAATAGCAGGAAAATCAACAAATAAGCAGCCCGTTTGCCTGAGATCGAACCTGGGTGGGTCGAACTCCCAGCAGCCAATCATAACTACTCGGCCTGTAGTAGGGAAAAAAAGCCCCGTCTTGGCAAACTTGAAAGTTGCTGCAAATCACATACTATAAATTCTTCCAGTTATCTTGCAGTTTATCTCAATACATTATTTATCGATATAAAGTAATGAACGTAAATCATGGTTTTTATGGAGGACATTCGGTCCGTTGCCATTCGGCAAAGTGTAACATATATTATCTTTCACTTTGAATGAAAATACTTGTCTATTTAAAGATCATTGTATTGCCATTCCCTAAAACAGGGTTTCTTAAACTGTGGGTCGCTGGACCTGCAGGAGGGGGTCGCCAAAAATTTTAGCAGTTTTAATATTTCTTTAAGTTATACTTTCTTATAATAATTTTACAATTACCAAATATTTTTACACAGTGCATCTTAAAATAGATAAAGATAAGATAATACAGACAAAGAAAAAAACGAAAACGTTTCGACGCGTTCTTTTTATATTATAAACGTTCATTTCCCTTGCTTTGCACGTGACGCTGTCATTTCGTCTGTTATTTATTTAAAATTTTCACATTGTTTTATATCTTAAAATTAGAAATTAAAAGTTAATGACCTAAAACTGCAATAGTACATTACAGTACAAGTGAAAAAAAATTGACGAGTTTCACTTACGCTTGTGTCGGGTTTGCGTAACGCTTATGGGGTTCCACAAAATTTTCCTAAATATTATGGGGTCCTGGGGTTGCGAAAAATATCTCAGTTGATAAAAAGAAGTCGTGACTGAAAACAGTTTTAAGAAGCCCTGCTGTAAAATATAAAAATGCCTTTTTCACCCTCCAACGACAACGTGTTGCCATTTGGCAGAGCGTAAGATACTTAACTTTCAAATTGAATCTGTCTGTTATCGAGTAACGCAAGAAGCGATTTCAAAGCAATAAACGCAGTTTTGAAGAATGGTTTTTCTAAGTTTTAATTCAGTTGATTTAAATAAAAATGCACTTAAATCATGAGATGTCTATTAGAAATATTAAATAGTTTTATGAAAATTACTCCTTCAAACCATCAAGTACTTTTATTACTCAAGATAATATATTTCTTTTATAGAGAGGTTGTTTGCACATTTAAAACAATTTTGAAGTAGTTTAGTTAATATCGAATATGTGAAAAATACATTTTTTAGTGTTCGATCTGTTAGAACAAAGAAATGGAATTTTTTCTGTAAATATCATACGTAATTTTTTTTTCTTACTAGTAACATTATTTTAACATTTTTTCCCTCTTCTTGTCAGAACTGCTATTCCTTCTAATTGCCTTGGGAAACATCTAGTAATCCTGAATGGGAACGGGAAGCTACGTTCGTGCGTGCGTGGAACAGACAACGCAAGTAAGAAGGGTAACTTTACTCCTTTATTTTTCACAGCATACAAGAGCTCCCGCACTTCGGGATACAGAGACCAAAACTTTTAGTCTAAAACGTAGAAAATAAGAAATATACGCTTAATAACTAGCTTAACTCAAGGCTTAATTTCTAAAAGTAGAAGTGCCGGAGCTCTATGAAAGACCATCACGAAAGAATAACAAGAGTAAATAAATAAACAAAATTACTATTAAAATCATTAATAATTTAAAAATTAAATAGTTAATGAGTATCAAATTAATAATTATTTAATTTATATTGATAATTAATATTTATTAATTATTATTTAACTTGTAATTATTGTTTTTTAATTCGCAATTTATTAAAATAATTAAAGATTAAAGTAATTAAATAAAATGTAAAGAGATAAATTAAAATTTAATAAGCGATTTTTTATATAATTTAATAAGCGATTTTTTATATAATTTTATTGCTAAAAATAAAATTTTCTAGATCAGATTTCTACTAAAATAATTGTTCCATTACATAAAAAAATGCCGAAGCTTTCTTATTTAGGGCGCTCCAGCTAGAATTAGAATATATCCCAAAATCTAAGAAGTACCGGAGCCGTAATCTGGTGGGCTCCGGCGCAATTTAAGCTCTGGCTTAATAAGAATTAAACTTAAATTCTGCACAGAGACTATTAACGGGAAGATTGGCTTTTTGACACTACGTATGTAGTAAGCGAAATGCAAATGCTACAGTACGTGTCGTATATCAACGTAACTAAGTTCTTAAAGGCAGACAGAAACTGACTGAAAAGCACGCGCGCGGCAGGGCAGCAAGAATTCTTCCTCTTGGCTAGAAGCCACTTCTTAAATGCCTACACAGTTTGGAAACTCATTAGCATAAACAATTTCTACTCGTGCTTATTCTGACCGGAAATGGAAAATAAAAGAGGATAGCAAAGTTTAAAATAAAATAAACGTTAGTAAAACTTAAAATCCTTATATTCTTATTTTTAATTTCTCATAAATCCCTCATTGAAACTTTTCTTTGTATCGACGGAAACAAGTCTGTGCACTTTTTTCTCTTCGTTTTCGATACAAATAGACCCTTTTTTTTTTTTTTTTTTTTTTTTTTTTTTTTTTTTTTTTTGTTGTTGTTGTTGATTTAGATAAACACATGCTTCAGCGAGGGTCGAAATGTATTTCCATTTAACTCCTGATAGTTTTCATACAAGTGTTTTGCAAATTGTTTTGTGTGAAGCGACATATTCCTCTGCAAAATTAGTGAATGCTGTTTAGCTTTTTTAATTTGTAAATCTTGCTTGATTATTTTATTTATTGTGCCAGAGATGTATTTAAAGAATTTGCTATTGATTCCTTTGTCGGCGAATTTTCTTTGGTTACCAACGGTTTATCTTTAGAAATATTACGAACAGTACATACTTTTTCCGAGTATTTGTTTGTAATCTTCTTTGCATGTAGAAGTAATGCTTCGCTTCACAGTTTTCCTTTTCCCTTCCATCCCATGTTCTATGGAAGATTACGTTATTTAAATTTTGATGGTAGTTATTCAAATTTTGATGGCTCTAGGTAGCGTTGTTTTAGGACAATGCGAGAACCATACATACATTGATGCAGACTCTTCATTATTTAATTTCTTCAAATATAATACAGAGCGATAATATTTGGCGTCAGCAGTTTGAAAAGTGAAACTGACATTCAGAGTGATTCGAGGCAAAATCGCAAAACGAAAACAATAGTCCCTCAGAGACAAAGCCCTTTGAACTAATAATATTACCCTCGTATTTTTCGTTCACATTCCACAAGCGAAAATAATCTGGTGCTGCCATCTATAATCTTAATTTCGAATTAAAAATCTTCCGAAAATTTTTATTATTTAGTAACTCCATTTATTTAAATGCAGTTAATTACATATCGTCGATAATTCACTTTCAAAATATAAAATTGAATATTCGGAAAGTTCTAGCTCTACAAATAGTGAATATTGTATTGTAAAATATAAAATTACGAATTTTAACGAAGATGTTTTCTCATTATTTCGAAAGGAACTTAACGATATTAAGGTTGTGATGGACGGGAATATAATTTTGTAGAATATAATCACTTTATATCTTTGTTTATAATAAATCGTGATGTTATTCTTAAATTATTATTTTATAGAACTCTTTAAAAATTTTTTTCTAATAAATGTAAAATTTCATTGGTGTCGGATATTATCCAAAAACTTTAAAATGGAACTATTTAGAGCGTGGAAGATATAATCTGACCTTACGTTATGTACCCCACTTTGAAGACCACTGTCATAGAGGAGTAATTGTTTGGATTTTTTTTTCTCAAGTATATGATAGCTGCTTCAAAGTTAAACTGTTTCATAAAAGTTTTATAAAATAATTTATCAATGCTTTGATGAAAAAGCAGTGAAATTATATTTGCTTCCAAAAACCCTAAAAGAATTGTCTGGTATCTCTAAACAACAGAGCAGAAAGTAGTTATTTGTTTTGTCTTACTTCCATCTGGTATGCAATCTAAGATTATTGAACAAAATTTAAACATTTCGAATAGACGTCACAAATATGTTCCCCTAATTTGCATAGCTTAAAGAATTAAGCATTTCATTTTGGCTATATTTGCTGATATAATGAATACTGTCTTTTTGTTGTAGAAATATAGCTACCTGTATTTCCATGACTGGATCAAACTAAATCCATGATCGGATCATAATAAAATAACAAAAGTATGTTTTAATAAAGAATAATTAGCTAAAAATTTAGTTAATTTAAGAATAAATAAGTTTTTTAACATCAGAAATTTTATTTTTCTACATTTAAAACTGAAGGAAACTAAAAATTATGTCTTTACACTATTCAATTCAAGATTCACAAGTCTTTCTTGTAACATGCTCAAACATAAATAAATCTTTATTAATTTATTCGGAAATTAATGTTTCATTGCTGACATCAATAGGTAAAGAAAGTCAGTAATATTTTTAATACAAATTATAAAATGATAAAGTGCAAGATGCAGTTAATTACAGAATTTCAAAAGTATTCTGAGTTTTAAATTCATCTGTGTAAATAAAGCATATGTATTTGATGTTTTTTCTGTCATCACTCTTAAACAGATTTTGCAAATCGTTTTCCTTTAAATATTTTTATCGATTTCTGACAAATTCTGTAAGAAACTAAAATTATCATTATATGTTTTCAGTAGCAAAAAAATAAATTACTTAATAATGCCCGTATAGCATCTAAATTGTGTTATTTCTCTTGATTGTGAGATTTCTCTTGATATTCATACTGAAATTTCAGGAAATGTTAATCATTTCTTTGATACGGAATGAAAATTCTCTAAGAATTGAATACTGACATTTCCTCCCCCCCTCCCGAAAAAAAAAAGAATTTTACTACTTCAATTGATCTCATAAAAATTGTGGACCAATGTTTCTTTTCCATTTTTATATAATGTCATGTGTGAGATTTAACACTAGTTTGGTTTTTCATATCTTTATTTTAATTCATTCAATTTTAAGAAATGTTTCAAGTGTTCTGAGGTTTTGTTCTTTCCTCGCTGAGTTTCTTTGTAGCATAATTGGAAAGCACGTCTGACTAGCAGTTGGAAGGTCCGGATTGAGTCCCAGTAAGGATTTTGCACATGTGTCCTCTATGATAAGCCATATAATTCTACAGTATATCGATTTAATCTTTTCCCTCTGTAATGTTTTCATCTCTAGTCTCGTCATTGCATTTTATTGGAAGAGATATCAGGACTTCTATTTCTTTTAATCTGCTTGACAAACATGACGTGTCCTGATTCGACAGTGAGTTTGACTAAAAACTATGTCCTGTGGAGTATAATAAGGATGACAAGATAAGAAGGGTTTAAATTTATTTTCTACGATATCACAGGCGCTCCCGCACTTTGGGATACAAAGACCAACCACTTGTGGTCTGAACGTAAAAATATAAAAACCACTGACTAAAATTTAAATAAAAGCTAACTTTGAATACTTTACACAAAGCTTTCAGATTTTTTTTTTTTTTTTTTAAATATTTTTATTCAGAAATTGAAAAATAATCATTGTAAAATGTAGTGATGGTACTAAAGGTTTTCAGTTTTTGTTTAGATGGTAAGCGTTAGTCAAAAGGTTGAGAACCACTGTTTTATAGTATAGATTGTTTGATACTTACATATAAACACAACCATTTTGCTGCAGTTTGGCGTTTACCAAGTAAAAATTACTTATTGGGAAGAAGCTTGCGAATTTTTCTAAAAAATTTCCAAACTGTTGATATTTATCGACAAACCTTATCAGTATATCAGGTTTAGTAATTTAATGTTTTTCTTTTGATGTACACAGCAAATTGCACAACCTCGTCATTCCCCATTGACTGTCTACCAAACGTATCTCATAGTCTCCCTTTAGTGATTTTGCAACAAAATACTGTGTTTGTGCAGAAATTCTATTGCAGTTTCTTTCATTACTGAAAAATTCTACAAGTGCATATTTCAAAATTGGGTTAAAGCAAACAATACGACAATTTGTCTATAAAAACCATTCGACTGCAACAGAAAGAAACATACGAAAATTGCGACATTGCTTGACTGAAAGATTCTTATGAGCATGCTTGCCCGAAAAATGGGTATAATCATTGTTGTTAGAGTTTGGCACATTCTAAAATTAGGTGGCCTCTACTAAGGTAGTTGCGATATTACGTTCATACCAGAAAATGTTTTTAATGATATAGTTTCAATGTTATTTACTAATTCTTTATCTTGAATCTTCCTGTCCTTCCTGACACTCTCATATATATATATATGCACTTGAATAAATAGTATAATGTTGGAAAAGAATGTCATAAAATAATATGTACATACATTATTATAATTGATTAATAAAGATTAATGATTAAAATAGAAGGAATTGGTGATTGATTTGAGTAGATGTTTGTATATGAATGCTAACAAAATATATATTTTTTCTTTAGAGCTATTCATTAGAACAATTCTA